TCCCTCTGTGTCTCCCTCACTCTCTCCCTCCCTCCCTCTCTCCCTCCCTCTTCCCCTCTCTTCCTCCCTCCGTCCCCCTCTCCCTCCCTCTGTGTCTCCCTCACTCTCTCCCTCCCTCCCTCCTTCCCTCTCTCCATCACTCCCTCCCTCCCCTCTTCCTCTCACTCTCTCTCTCCCTTCCTCTTCCCGTCTCTCTCCCTCTCTCCCTCTCTCCCTCCCCCTCTCCCTCCCTCTGTGTCTCCCTCATACATACATAATACACACATGCATGTGTACAGGAGGGTGGAGGGATGAGATCTATTCAGAAAGTTAGGTGCTATCCCTCCTCCCCCCTCCCCCTCTCCCGTCCGTCTCCCTGCCTGCTTCCCTACCTCCCTCACACATACGTGTAACCAAGAGCTAATAATACCTAGAGTGTACAACGGAAAAACGGAAAAATAGTGCTATTTCACGACAACATTATTCTACTTTACCTGCGAGTCTAGAATAATTTCATAGTATTAAGCAGAATTCTTTGCTCTCTAAAACAAGACCAACCGCTTGTCAATAGGATACTCCTAGGTTGAGATATTGGCTCCTAAACCTCCCCTCCCACATGCCTCACGCCGCCTCGCATCCACTTTATTCAGCTACCTTGACGCCCCTAAACATTTTGGCTATCGGTTTCCGTCACCGCTTGGAGCGCTGATAATTGATGTCACATGCCCAAATTTGGTACTCTTACTACACCATATAGTAACTGAGCTGCGTTTTAAAGACTTAATTTAGAAAACATTGCCGGCTCCATCATGACGGGCATTAGCCGTGCTAGGAAAGATAATGGAAGATAAGGGCATAGGCGATGCCCCCCAAAGTCACCAATGATAACCGAAACGCCGTTCATTCATAAAGTCATCACGGAAATAACCGAACTTTCACGCAGCAACCTTAGGGGCGAGTAGGTTGCTGACTGATGTGGATGCGAGGCGGTGTGACATCAATTATCAGCGCTCCAAGCGGTGACGGAAACCGATAGCCAAAATGCTTAGGGGCGAGAAGCATTTATATTATTATTAATACTATTACTACTACTACTGCTGCTGCTACAGGTGCTACAGTACATCTATGTGTCGCGTAACGGCATGAGGGAGAGCGAGCTGATCGCGCTGCTACCTGGTGAGCTGACGTGGAACTACTGGGCGCCTCTCACCGAACGCTTTCACCAGCTCTCCGTATTATCTACCTCCATGAACGGTCTCCTCGAGTTTACACAGGAGGAGGTGAGAGAGGGAGGTGGGGGAGGAGGTGAGAGAGGGAGGAGGGGGAGGAGGTGAGAGAGGGAGGCGGGGGAGGAGGTGAGAGAGGGAG